ATTTGGAATAGTTATGATTTTTTTAGCAAGGTTAGGGCCAATGTTTGTAAAGTATTAATTTAACTCATTCGAGATTTGTAATGGACAATAAATATCAGTTTTATTGATATTTATTCTTTGAGGTAGTATAGCCATATTTATTTTCTTTCTTCTCGTTATATTGTTAATTAAATCCAATGTTTTTTCACATCGAATTTGTTTTTTGTAATTTCTTTACTATAATTTTTTTTTTTTGCTTTCTTGATTTTTGTAAAAGCGTTTATATTTTGTAACTTTTTTCATTAACTTCAGTTCTGTTTTTTAAAAATTTATTGTAAAGTTTTTGTTTATTTCTTGAACGTTTTATAAGAGTTTTATCCATCCAAGGATTCAATATTGTTTTTTTTTTAGTTACGGCACGTTTATACATACGTTATTACATACGGGCACGTTTCGTTATAAATGTCAAGAAATGTGTTTAAGAAACTATTAAATGCTTTATTTGTATTATCATAATTAAAATATTCAGGCCTTGTTTTAAAGCGTTACGTGTAGACTGATTAAAATGTGGCTTAGCCTTTTTACATAAGTTTTTCATCTTATACGACCACGGAAACGTTTTTCAAGTTAGAGAACGTGATCACGGCCGTTTGCGCAAAATTTATTATATGCGTTGCTGAAAAATTGTTTTAAATTTAATAACTACTTAAGAAATTAAAGTGAACTTAAATAGAAAACAATAATAATAGTTTAAATAATTTGTGTGTTATTTTTATTTTTGTTTTTTCTTAGTGGTTATTAATATCGGCAACAAAATTCATTAAGTCAAAGCAAAAAAAAAAAAAAAACTGTTTTAGGCGTTAAAAAGGATGACTTTACCATATTTTATGTGTTTTTTCTTTTTAAGAGGAAAGAGAAAATATGTATCATCATCTGTTTGTAAAATACATTTGTATAATTATAATGTAACAAGTTTATATCAAGAGTTAAATTATATGATCGTGATTTGCAATCTCTGGTAAAATATTAGGTCTTTAAAATTTTAGTTCATGTAAAGCTGTGTACTTTGTTTATAAGGAGCAAACTATTAAAAGTTTGCTCCTTATATAGTGTTACAAAAAATTACAAAAAACAAAACAAAAACAATAAACTTACGACTACAAAAGTAATAACACTTTAGTCACTAACTGCATTATAAAAGTAAAAAAACTATAATAGTGTTATTACATTTATAAAACATTTACTAGTTTTAAAGTTAATTCTTTGTTCAAACAACATTATTAATTCCAAACATTTATTAAAGTAGAAAAGCATCTAGAAAAAATAAAGCGGATATTCAAATATTATTAAAAATTTCAGGAACTTTCACATATCACTTAAACAATGTTATAAAAAAGTCCTTTATAAAAAGTATAGCATTATGAAAAAGGTTACGTAAAAACGCGCGTTAATTTTAAAATCAACCAATAAAAAATTTTTATTGGTTAATTTTAAAACTAATTTTAAAACACGGTCCATTGGCAACATTTTTCATAATGCCAAACTTTTAATACGATACGTTTTCATAAAGTTGTTTGTCACGTTTTTATAAGTTACTTTAGTTTTAATATTATTTGAACATCTACTTTATTCTTTTAGATATTTTTTTAACTTCAATTAAAATTTGGGAAATACTAATGTTGCTTGAACAAAGAATGAATTTTAAAACTTATAAATGCGTTATAAAAATAATAACACTATTATAGTGTTATTACTTTTGTAATGCAGTTAGTGACTACAGTGTTATTACTTTTGTAATCATAAGTTTATTGTTTTATTTTTTATTTTTTCGCTAACAAATTTAAGTTGATTCTCCCCTTAAAAACAAGGAACATGGTTTTGTATAAACTAAAATTTTGAACACTAGATATTTTTCCAGATTTTGCGTTTTGCATTTGCTTAATTCAACCCTTATTTTTACATTAAAATTATATAAATAAATTTTACAAACACATTGCAATTTGTATTTTTGCTATCCTCTTAAAAAAAATTAAGAAAAGGAAAATCATTCTTTTTATTGTAGACTTCAAACTGTTTTTTTTTTTGCTTCGCCTTATCTAATTTTTGTTGCTGAATGTAACTCTAAAGAAATAAAAATAAAAACAGTACACAAATTATTTAAATTATTAATTTGTTTTTATTTTTTTCTATCTTAATCTCTTTTTATTTTGTTAGTTATGTTGTTTTTTTTTTGTTTTTGAAACTTTTTCAGCATTATTATAAAACTTGCAAACGGCCGTGTTCACGTTTTCTAAAATAGTGTAATCGCGTGTGGTCATACGAGAAAAAAAAACGCACGCCTTTCCTGGGAAGACTAGTGTTTTTGTTTTTATTTTGCAGGTAGGATTCGTACAGCAGGAGCATTCGTACAGTAGACCATTCTTTGTTTTGACACATTTATATTTATGTGTGTGAAGACCACTCATACACAAAGGCTAACAGTTGAGCACCGTGGCAGTGCCATCCTAATCATATTTTTGCACTAATAAAATAATTTTACAATTAATTTTTGAAAACATTTGTAATATTTTTTGATCCAATTAATGAAATAATTTATTATGCTTTATGTATGTGTCTTAGATTATATTTAAACAATAAATTTCTAATATTCTTGTCCATTATTTTTATTTTGAATTTATACATTAGTTGTTATGGTTGCGGCACATTCGTACAGTAATAAGTTGGGAGGATTTGTATTGTAAATACGTATGAAAAAATCTGCACAGCCCATTCTTTCGCATATAAACAGACAGCCGTAACTGATGTCGATGAGAACCTAGAAAAGCTTTTAAGAAAATATGTATTTTCTGGAGATGGGATATATAATTTTGTTTTTAACATGTTTAATATTTATTTTGTTTTAATTTAAATCTTAATAAATGTTTATTTTCAATAAATACATTTTTAACTTTGTAATAATGTACCCAACCAAAAACTGAACGAAGCTACCCAGTGTTTGGGGTGCATTCTTACAATCTCCATTTTTTTGAAAAAGTCATCATAGTACCATCTTGTTAGCTTTTTTAAAAACTAAACTACAATATTATTAAAGCCAGATATTTAGGTTACTCAGTAGCATTAAAATTATTTTAAAATAGCAATTATTTTTGCTTTTATATTTTAGTGTAAAAAGTGTACAAATCCTACCTACTTTCTCCTAATGATTAAATTTTTCGCTTGGAAAACCCAAATACATGAAGCAAAGATCATAATAATATAATTTAATTTTGATAAAAAATATATGATTTAATTTAAAACTAATTTAATAAAAATATATAATTTTATACTGATTAAAAAAATTTAATTTAATTTTGATTTAAAATTTTTTTTAAGTTTATCAAAATTAAAGTTAATGTTTCGATTTAACTTAACTGTCAAATTTACTAAAGAATATTACTAAATATTGTTCAATATTTAAATTTTATTTATTCTTAAAAAAATAAGCTCATTTTTATCGCAATTGTTTTTTTCGGTTTTCCTTTCTAAACATTTTTTTATTACTCAAAACTAAATTTTAAATAAACGGCTGCATCAAAAATTTTCACAAAACGTAAGTTAAACTTTTTATATAATGCAAGTTAAATAGCAGCAATTAATTTTTAATAAATGATGTATACAGCAAAATAATTTTAATAAATGATGTTTGGAAAAATAATCTTTGCTTTCACAACAAAATCGTTAACAAATTAATAAACTTTTAATAAATAAAGTAAATAAATTAACGAAATTTTTTAACTTGTTAATAATTTTTTTTTAAATAAAAAATCATTTGTGCAAAGCCGCAATTAGTTTAAGAAATAATCATTTAAAAATTTAAAAATTATTATTTTATTGATATTATATTTTTTACAAACAAGAGCTTTAGATGTTATAATTTTTTTTTTTTTTTTTTTTTGTGTTTCTGGTTTTTTTAATATTTAAAGAAACTTTTCTTTTTTATATATAATTTTTAAAACTTTTTACTATTCCTTATAGTGAATCTAAAGAACACCATTTTGGAGTCTTTAGATCAATTTTGCTCATGGGCGTTAACATAAACTTAGTTAAAATATTTTGAAAAAGTGGCTTAACCCACTATAGATCGGTTCTGTTGTCTATTAACTATATCTAATAGTTGTCAAAACACATTATTTCTATCAATTTTCACAAAAAAATACTAGAATTCAGACCAAGAAAGAGCTTATAATTAAGAAAAATTGCCAATAACCAATCAGAACAGATCATATTACTAAACTATGATGTTTATTTTAAATAAAACATATTTAATTAAAAATCACAAAATTGATCATTTTAACTTTTTTCACCTTTTTATAATTCACAGACCTGATTTAACAGAAATATGTCGTAGTCAACAAAATATCATACAGATGCTATAATATTTAAAAATTGCCTTAACTACACTAAGTAGTAAAGTCAAGTTTTCAAAATCAAATAGTTTTTGTGTGGTCATATTATGGCATGAAATTGCACACCTTCCTGACTGCGTTTGATATCTCTAGATTTTAAAAAAGTGACAAATAAATCATAGAGACATAAGTTGTAGGTCAGTCAAAAGGGGTATTTCATAATACTTTAACCATTAAAATAAAACAATTTTTTTTTTAAGAAGTCGAAGTTTTCACATAAGACCTAAGGCATAAGGAAAAATTATCCCTTACCCTAAACTCAATATAAACTTTATTCTATGCAGAATTAAACAACTTGGTTTAAATATTAGAGGTGCATTAGTAAAATGCTTGAAAGCAAGAAGTACTGAGTTTAATTCCCAAACAGTTAGTACTTGGCTCAACTTGTTTCTCTGCGCTGCAATTGTCTTAAGCTATAAAACCTTTCAAGGTTTGTGTTTTTGTAGCTATAATATTGAAACAATTGTAACAACAACAACAACAACAAAAATACATATAAAAGCAATAGTATTTCTACTAGCAACACCTTGTTAACCACAATGAAATTAATTTCAAAAATAATTATACAACACCTACCTAATACTTGTACATTTTGCAAAGAAATACTCTGATTTCCCATAAAGTTTACAATGCCAGGTCGAACATTACCAAGTTGATGTTGAGGAGATGATCTTTGATGCTGTTGAATTGCAGCAATCTGTTGTGGTGTTAACTGATTTTGTAGAATGTTGATACTTTGAGGTAAACGCTGCCCAGTTTGAACAATACCCATTGTACCTACAAGTGATATTGGATGACCAGTTGATGTTGTATATATGTTTGCGTTTGATTGGTTTACTTGTTGTGATGATGATGATGCCATTTTTAAATTCTTACACAAATATTTAAATAACTTTTAAACAGCATTTATAAAATCAAATTGAGTATAAACTTTAAAATCAAATCAAATAGATATTTTTGTAACATATTATATAGTATAAGTAATGTAACAAATGTCTTACTTTTAACATATGAGAGTGCAATAAAAACTTAAAATTTAAACAAGCTTTGAACTTAGATTTTCTTTTATATAACAACATGATGGTCATTCTACATACAAATGATAATAGTGTTGTTTAACAAAACTAATTATTATGCTTAATTTTGTATATCTCAATACCAAACCCGACCTTAAAGAAAATAACTTTTTTTTAAATAGACTGTTCTATTTTTTAATGTTCTTTTTAAGCTTACATTCTGAGATGCACCTAATGCACTGAAAAGTTTCCTTGCTTTTCACAATTTGCCAGTTAATTTTAAATTATGCAACACAGCTTTTTAATAATTATATTAAATTCTATTAATATTAGAAAATTAATTGGTAAGTTTACTGTTAAGATTTATTTAACTTTACAGAATAACTTTTTTTTTATAATTTTAAGTAACTTTTAATAACCTGTATGTATATATATAATTATGCTATAATCATTTTGTTTATTTTTTCTAAAAATAAACAAATCTACACACACAAAAAAAACATTCATAAATGTCTAACAAACTCATAGCAATAATAATTATAAAATGCCTTATGTTTTTTTCAGTTTTTTCCTGTACATTAACTACTTCCAAGATGAACTAACACTTTTCACCACTCTATGATCTTAAGATCATTTTTATTTAACAAACAAACTTTGTAACATAAAAAATAGTTTCTTATTTTCGGCAGTATTATTAACAACATCTTATATCACTCCCGTCAATAAAAATACTGACGGAGTATTTTTTTTTTTTTTTTTTTTTTTTTTTTTTTTTGAAGGATTTCTTTTTAATTTTTTTTTTTTGTTTTTTCTGTATTCCTAAAAACTTTTTAGTATACTCAATAGTATATTCCGGAGTATTAGTTTTCAAGAAAAAGACAGTAAAGTCTCATTACACCGTTTGTTTTTTTTGCCGTATTTACAATCGTAGATATAAAATGCAACATTAACAATTTTTAAGATTTAATAATAGTTTTTTTTAAAAAATTTTACAACAATTTTATCAAATAAAGATAAAAAAATGCAAATAGATTTTAAGAGTTAATGAGAACGAGTTTTGTGATAAAAGTTTATTTAATTTTCGACTCGATTAATTTACTTTTTAGTTAATAAGCATGTAACTTTTAAATTACATCAATCAAAGGATCAAGATCAAGAGTTGTAGCAATATTGTAATGGCAATTCAAAAAAGTGAGATGATTCAATCACTTTTGAGACATCGCAGAACGCAAATAGGTCTTAAGTCTACGAAGACAAGAAAAAAGCGCTCACAGGTACGAAAATTGACAGACATACATAGTAAAATCTTCACCATTTTCACAAACTCGGGAATCAATTGAATTAATTGAGAAAAGACACCATTGTTGTCTACCTTTACGCTTATTCATAAATATATCGCGATGCAGTTAGCCTTTTATAATCTTCAAAGTTATCTTTGTAAAAAGCCTAATCAAATTCTACATCCAACCACTGATTAATGAGAAATTTTTCTGCATTTGCATAATGCAGTGGTCTTTGTCGCTTAGAATTGGATTTCAAATCCCATGATAACACAACCCAGAGATATATAGTAAAGCTGGTGGTAGTGATCCTCTGGAGTCGTAGTAAAGTATGGAGCTACACTTCTACTGAATTGTGATGTAATCTTACGTTTCCTTTGCATTTTTTGTTTGTCACGTACACTTCATTTTACTACTACAACGGCTGCATCTTATAAGCATTGAAGCGAATATTGTTCCGGGCTTCTTTTAACACCTTCTTTACCGTGTTGAGAACCACGAGCAAACGCGATGAATGATTGGACTATATTGGACTCATTATATTCCTAACCTCTGTTTGATTTTCAACAGAATCTTGTGTTACTAAGTGGATATTATAGGCGCAGCAGTGTATGTAAATAACCCGCTCTTCTTTTTCCTTTATTAAAGTCTCCTAAGATCTTTAATGAAGGAAAAAGAAGATCTAACATCTTTGAAAGTATCATGGATACTTAGATATTTAAGACAATCCGTCAAAAGACTGGCCCGGAAAATCTATTTGCTTTTCGTTTTTTGAAAAGTATTCATTAATCTTCTTCATTTGAAAACGTAAAACTTAGAACTTTGTATTCAAGGTACTGTTGAACAATTCAAAAAATTTCTTCAAAGAACTGCCTTTTTTAATTCGAACAAAAAAAGTTAAATATAAATAAATAATATACAAATGTTATTACTTCTGAACACGAGAAAACAAAATCTAATTACACCAACGTTTAACTCACAAAATAATTGGCTCTAGTTTTTGTAATTGTTTAAGTTAGTTTGCTTTTGTTACTTTTTACTAATCTCAAACTCCTTTCAAAAGTAATGAAATTTTTGAATTTTCACAAAATGACTTTTAAACGAGCTTGAACTTATACAAGCATTTCTGGAAATATATTTATTGTTTTTAAATTATTCTTTTTGTTTATGTTTAAGAATATTATGATTTTTATTTTTTAATAATTTTTGAACGCTTTGATACCCGGATGGAGTCGGGAATCAAAGCGTTCAAAAATTAATAAAAATCAAATTAATAAAAATCAATAAAAATCAAGCGTAAAATGATCTTTATTGAGGCATTAAAGCTAAAAAAAAGTTAAAGTTTAAAACCAGTATTACATAATGGAAATGCACTACCATTATTTCCTGTTGGATATGCTTCTTACATGAAGGAGTCTTGTGTCAACATACAGCTTTTTTTGACTTGATTATCTACAATGGCCAAAAGTGGCTAATCTGTAAGGATCTAAAAATTATTGTCTTCTTGCTGAGAATGCAGTTAGGATACACCAAATATTGCTACTTTTCTGTGAATGGAGTTGTTGATCATAGTTTGACCACTTTAAAATAAAAAAAATGATCTTCCCAGGCGATTCAGGGAAGAAATTGAGCAGAACATCCAACTATTGGACCCCAAAAAAAAATTTTTCTACCGCTACACGAAAAACCTATAAAGAGTTTTGTAAAGGCAATGAACCAAATGGTTAAGCTTTTAGGGTCGTCCAGCGTTTTTTAAACCCTTCCTCCCTTTTTATCAAACTCTGTCACTTTTTTGACAGAGTTAAAATGATGTCAGTTTTTGTTAACTTCACCCCCCCCCCCCCTCTTCCTCCACTCCATGAAATAAAAATAAAAATGCGTATTTACCATCAATTTTTTTAAGAAATATTTTTTTGATAGTATTATTCTTATTTTATGGATTTTTTTTAAATCTGCTGATAAATAAACTTAAATTAATTTTTTTTTAACTAACATTGTTTTGGTCTTAACACCCCCTTCCCCATTGCAAAGTTTTGTCAAGCTTTTCAGCTCCCCTCTCCCCTCTGCTTTTTGATATAATTTATGGATGGCCCCTTAAGTATCTCATAGAGAAATTCCTAAGGTTGAGAGAGATCAAAACAAAGAAGCTGTATTTACTTAAACTGTGAAAAGTATATTTGGTTTTAATTTCCTGTATTAATGCAGTTATTGCTTCATAGCTCTGAAATATTTATGAATTTCTTACTGCAAATCGTATAGTATTTCAAAGAGGCTAAAAAATCAAGAAATAGAGATAATAAATCACTGCTTTTTTTCTCCTAGAAAGTATTAACGGGGTTCCGGCACCTTTTTTTGATATACATAAGCATCTTTTTTTTCTCGTAATATTACATAATGAACTTAGATTGTTTTTAAATATTAAACATTTTAAATTCAAAAAAAAAAAAATTATTTTCAATTGTTTTACTTGAAAATGTAAATCTGGGTGGTATAAACATAATTAAATAAAATATTTTTTGCAGATTTCAAAACAATATGGCGCACAGTGGGACAGAGGTGAGCAAAATCCCTCAAAACCAACTACTCTAACTTGAGGTTATATTTTTTTTATAAATGTAATCTAGAGACCCCCAGCACTCTGAAACTGATATAGATTTTTCCCTATTATAACTTTTAAGTTCAATTTTACCACGAAAATGGGAATATTTTACCTTTCAAATATTGGACAAAATTTAAAAAATCATACAAAAAAGAAATATGAGGCTAGTAAGACAATTTTAGAACATTCTCATGTCTTAACGTCATATAATAGTTCATTAACATTATACATTGAAATAAGCAAAAGAAGTAGAAAAAAAAAAAATTTTAAGCTGGCATTTTTTCAAAATATTTTTCAATAAAACCCCTTATTATGTGCAAACTTTTTATTAACACCTACCTTTACTCAAGCAGAAAAACATAGGCTGAACTAGACCACACATGTAATCAACTTTAAACTACACTATCATATATAAATAAAAATTTACAACTAAATTTCCAGAGCTCTGCTGAGCGCAGTAGGTGCTAGGCTTTATATTATAAATGATAACCAATCATACATTTTGCTTTAAAAAACTGAAGAAGAAACAGAAGAATTTTTTTATCATTAAAATCTTGTTAAAATCTATTTTAAATAACATTTTTTAAATAACATCTTTTAAACAACACTTTTGATTTTGTTGTGGAAAGTGGAACATTCTATGAAGATTATGTAATTTTTGTTAAATAGCTTTTTTAATAGTAACTATTTTTGTTATGTTCAAGCGGTTTTTTAATGTAAATTTTTGTGGATTATTATATTGTGTTAAATTTATGTGAACTTGGGTGAAAAGATGATTTATGAGAGAGTTATTTGTATTTATGTATGTAAAGAATTTTTATTAATGTAAAATGAAAAGTTTAATTTAGTGAAGGGAAATAAGTTGTTTACAAGAAAAAAGGATTTTTAATTTCTTGTTGCGTTAAAAGCGAGGAAACTGCATCATCTAGTAATTTTAATTTTAATGTCGTATAAATAACTTTTCAAAAACGCAGTTTTTACTTAGAAATGTGTTTAAATAGGTCAAATGAGTT